TCAGGTAGACCAAACAGGAAACATCAACAGATGAGCAAATTCTACTTTATTGTAAAGCTACATTAACAGAATCTTGCAAGTCTGAAAGTGCAGTTCTCCCCCCGTCTCTTTTACAGCCTAGGGAGGGTCCCTTCTGAGTCTCTTTCTCTACCCATTATGCGGCTGAGGGCTAAGCCATCTCTTATCTGACCGTTCCCTTGGCAGCGTCTCTTTGCCCCATTTCTCAAGGTCTTTCTCACATGCCGTTACAGTTTCTGACCTGGCCTACCTTGAAGGGCTGGCAGAACATGTGTCAAGGATGGCAGGAAGGAAATGGCAATGGGGAACTTGAGACTTTCCCCATTTCTGGGGACCAGCTCCCAGGGAAATGCAGATCCATCCAGGATGATGGGGACTGCAAGCCAGTGAGACGAGGGAGGGCTAAGAATCCCACCCCAAACTAAGAAGGGCTTATTCCCACCCCTCTGGACCGGAGGGCAACCAGGCCTCTTTTCCTCGCCCGCCTGATCTGCCTTCCTCTGCTTCCCACCCTCTAGGACACCAAGAACAAGCAGGCGGCTGACAAACTGATCGGCGACCTGGATGAGAATCAGGACGGAGAAATCAATTTTGATGAATATTGGAACCTGATCGGAGGCATCGCCAGCCCGATCTCGTGCCTCATCCGACAGCGGGAAGAGAATGAAAAATTCACCAAGTAGAGATGGAAGGAGTTGGTGGAAAAAAAGCCTCTTTGTCCCCATCGCTGCTTCCCAGTTCCCCACTTTTCTCTCGCCGTCCTTCCAGTTCCCTTTCTGCTGAAGGGGCCAGATATGACAAACACTTTTGGACTGGCTAATTTGGGGAATGGGCAGTTTCGGGCAGGGAGGGGGCGGTCAAGAAGCAAGGGAATTGCACCCGTTGTGACTGTGAATAGCACTGCAATAAAGGCTGGGGCCTCAGAGTCCTAGAAATGCCTCTAGCTTCTTTGTAAAATCTTTCTCACCCAACAAGCTTCCAGTCCTCATTGATGACAGATGATGCAGACTGCCTTTCTGCATCAGAGTAAGCCTCTGTGGCTTCTGGGGGCTTCCAATACGACCCCAAAAGCGAGCAAGGCCTTTCACGTACGTATTTATAGTTACCCACAAGAACCAGCCGCCCAAGATAGAATGCCTCGGAACATGGAAGGTCTATTTTACTAGCTATCCCCCAATTCTACATTAGAGAGAGATTTTTAGCCAAGCAGATAAAATCTTAGCTCGTGGCTGTCACCGTATCTTGTGGCAGGGAGTCCCAGAGGTTAACGAAATGCATTTCCTTCCGGTCTGCTTTGAATCCCACAGCCTGAGATTCAAACCCTAAAGAAAAACGGGGGCATAATTTACCCAATCCCTCTCTTTATATGGTGCAGAAATCAGGGAACCTCCCACCCCAAGTCCAGCTAAAACAACCCCTCAAGTCTCTAATAATTTCAATAAATAACGCGCCTCCATCTAGGCAGCCCTTTAAAAAAAAAGACGTAAGAAACACCTGCACGCCGTAAGAACAAGAACTTCGTCCCAAGGAATTTGGCCATCCGGCTGTTAATGCACCACGTTTAACCCGGGAATTAGCCAGGACAGGCCGCCCTGTGCCCCAAAGAATCAAACCAGGGTTAACATTCACCGACCTCGGCTGCCGTTCCTCCAACGCAGCATCCGTGTCTCGACACGAACCGTCCTCTGCCCCGTGGGTTGGCAATCACGGCTTGCATTCGGCCGGGGCGGAGAAACCCCCTTAGGCAAAAAAGGAAACAGGGTGAGTTTAACAATGTTTTGATCCCGCTGCAGGTCACTGAATCTTCGGTCTGCAAAAGATCGGGGTCAGGAGAGGGGGAAAAGGGAGACCAGGAGGAGGATCTGGGAGAGGCGCAAAAAGGGTCGTTTAATCAGTTTTTGCACAAAAAACTCCTTCCGCTGGTGATCGTTAGCATGCATCCTGTGCTTGGGGATAAAAAAAAGAGAATATTCAAGGTCGTGCATCTTTTTCCCCTTCTGACAAACTGGCAGGGGCAAAGCTGAGGGTTCGAGGGGCAGGGGTTGGGCTAGATAACCTTCTGGAGCCTCTTCTCCAGCCCTGGTTTCAGCTAAAAGGGAGTCGGGGTTTGCAAAATGGGTGGGACGGACCGGGCTGTTTGCAGAGACCGGGTTCTGCATTCTGGCCCCCAGAGGGCGGCAGAGGGCTTTGGAGACACCCAGGGACCCACCCTTCCCCTGCAGTGAGCAACGCCGGCCACCAGATGGCAGCACACGGCAGCCAGCAATACAACTGGAAGGATACAACTTGCCCTGGCAATGATTTCTCCCCCCCCCCCGAAAAGAGGGGGGTCTTAAAATGAGACCTGGGGAAGGACGCACACCCTTTCAGTGCTGTACCCGATTTTTCAGTTCAGGGAACTGCTTGTTATTCAACGGGGAGGGAGGGAGGGTATGTTATATACTCTGTGCATGCTCAGGAGCTAGAAATTTAGGGAGAGCATCCCAGGATTGAGAACGTAAACGAGCACAGTCGCCATCAGGAATGCTAAATGGATTCACCACATCTGGACCTTTCAAAAAATAAAACGACACCCTTAGAATTTTTGCCGCACCGAATTCAGACTTCCAGCTAACCGTGCCAGCCACCTTTTGTGAAAGCCGACTCCATTCCGTCCCCCGCCTCATGGGTTTTCCATGCCAAGGAGCTGTTCGCTTCTCCTCCCCCCCAAATTTCCTGCCCCAAATCCTATTCCCCTTTTGCAAACTCTCCCAAGCCTGTCGAATTTCATTCTCGAGGCCCGGGTTGGATGGCACCATTGTGCCTACCCCGCACAAGTTTTTTGAGGGCGCCTGGCGGGGGGAAACTAGGAAAGAGTTCTTGAAATCCAGTTTGGCTGGATTTCTGCAAGATAGGAGTGGAGTCGGAGAAGCCCCTCTCTGCGATAATGCAATTCAAGGGCCGGCCGTGCCATCTGCTGCCTGGGACGTTTGTCCCCCGGCTGGCAACGGAGCACGGACCATCCTTCTCGGCTGGCTTGGGGGAAACAAAGGAAGGGAAAGCTGGTCTCCTAGCAATGCAGGCCAAAGCTATGTCTGTCGGGTGACTCATCCCTCTGGCATCCAGCAGTCATCTGGGCTGCAGACTTTTCGGGAAAGGCAGAATGGCGCGACGGAGAGCCAGACTGCCAGTGCCAGCATACGCGCCCACGGAAATGTCAGCTCCTCCTCTTCTCTTTTCTCCGGCTCTCGGTTTTAAAGCAATATCCGATTCAGCCAGGGGCAACTTGGCACGGCTGGGGGAGAGCAACGCAACCTGGAAGGAAAGGAGGAGTCGCGAGGGCAAATGTAGAGCTTCCACTGTGGGGAGCAGTCTACCTCCCGATCCCAGTGGCCAGGAAGAAGTCCTCTGCTTCCTGGGGCCCGCAGCTGGATTTCTGCTGCCGGCCAATGGGCTTGGGGCCTTCTCTGCGGACGCTCGCCCGGCGAACAATGCGGGCATTCACGTGCCCTTGGCGACGGGAGTGGCAGAGAGGGTTCAGGACGTGGCACATGGGAGAAGAGGACAAAGGACTGCACGCACGGGTACCCACACAGCAAAATTGTGCAGCGGCTGCTTTGCTCAGAGAATGCATTATGCAAGCCGCAGACGGGCGAAACACTGATCCGAGGGGCAGGCAGAAATCCAGCCCTTCCATCAGCAATCCTTCTCAAAAGAGGATTGTTTTAATCAAATGGTTCTGCCAAAGCCAGGGGTTAATCCATGCCCCCCTCCACATTAGCAAGGAATGCTGATGTGGGTGATCGAAGCTTCAAAACAGGGGAACGACGAGGCCGAAGTTCAATTGGTGAAGCCCGCCTCCTTCTCCGGAGACCCAGGCTCGGGTTCCTCCAAGCCACCCGAGTATTAGCAAAGTGGATTTTTTTTTCCATTTCTCTTTCCATCAAGGGGGGGACCTGATCGACAGGAATCGCTGCCGCAACAGGGGAAGACAGGCTCAGATTTTTAAAAAAAGGCAAATTGGGGACAGGATCTGAACGGCCAATTGATCCTAATCAGCCCCAATTGCTAGGCGGAACCTCCCTGGACCAGAGCACGATATCTGCAAAAAAGAGTAGAGTAAAGTAAAGTAAAGTAAAGTAAAGTAAAGTAAAGTAAAGTAAAGTAAAGTAAAAGTAA